CAAAGGAGCTGAGGGCATACAATGGAGAAAAGAAAGTCTTTTCAACAAATGGTGCTGGGAAAACTGGAAAGCCACATGTAAAAGAATGAAAATTGACCATTCTTTTTCACCATTCACCAAAATAAACTCAAAATGGATCAAAGACCTAAAGGTGAGACCTGAAACCATAAGGCTTCTAGAAGAAGACGTAGGCAGTACACTCTTTGACATCCATATTAAGAGGACCCTTTTGGACACCATGTCTTCTCAGAGAAGGGAAACAATAGAAAGAATAAACAAATGGGACTTCATCAGACTAAAGAGCTTCTCCAAGGCAAATGAAAACAGGATTGAAACAAAAAAACAACCCACTAACTGGGAAAAAATATTTGCAAGTCATATATCTGACAAAGGCTTAATATCCATAATATATAAAGAACTCTCACAACTCAACAACAAAAAAAAATCAAACAACCCGATCAAAAAATGGGCTGGAGACATGAACAGACATTTCTCCAAAGAAGATATACAGATGGCCAATAGGCACATGAAAAGATGCTCATCATTGCTGATCATCAGGGAAATGCAAATCAAAACTACACTAAGATATCACCTTACACCCATTAGAATGACAAAAATATCTACATCTAATACTAAGAAATGTTGGAGAGGTTGTGGAGAGAATGGAACCCTCATACACTGCTGGTGGGAATGCAAACTGGTGCAGCCACTATGGAAAACAGTATGGAGATCCCTCAAAAAATTAAAAATAGAACTACCATACGATCCAGCCATTCCACTACTGGGTATCTATCCAAAGAGCTTGAAGTCAGCAATTCTGAAAGTCCTATGCACCCCAATGTTCATTGCACCATTATTTACACTAGCCAAGACATGGAAGCAACCTAAGTGCCCATCAACAGACGAATGGATAAAGAAGATGTGGTACATATATACAATGGAATACTACTCAGCTGCAAAACAGAACAAAATCATCCCATTTGCAACAACATGGATGGACCTTGAGGGAATTATGTTAAGTGAAATAAGCCAGCGAGAGAAGGATAATCTCTGTATGACTCCACTCATATGAGGAATTTAAAAATGTGGACAAAGAGAACAGATTAGTGGATACCAGGGGAAAGGTGGGGTGGGGGGTGGGCACAAAGGGTGAAGTGGTGCACCTACAACATGACTGACAAACATTAATGTACAATTGAAATTTCACAAGATTGTAACCTATCGTTAACTCAATAAAAAAAAAAAATTCAGCTCCCAAGGAGAGGACTTGAACAAGAGGGACTTGGTCTCTTTTGATGCAGTATCGTCAGTTGAACATCAGCTCTGGAGAGCCGTGTAGAAACATTTAAACCTCTGGCAGATGGTGGAGAAAGGCATAATGAGGACAATCATAAATATGAGACATTTGGAAACTATTTTATATTTAATTTTTTAGTCAGCCTACGCTTAACCAGAATAAATATCAAGGATCAGTTTGATTAACCTTAGTAAACCAAGCAGCCTTTAAAAAAAAAAACAAATTGTTTCATCTTTTTTTGGTGGGTACAAGATGTATTAGGTATTGCACAGACTTTCTTGGCTGGCCTGTAAATAGTTGAGGGTGAATTGTATTATTTTGGATGATTTTAGACAACAAATTTAGTCTGTTGAATTTCTTGTTTTGTTATTTGTATCACAGTCACTGTGACCATATTTTAGTTTAGAAACTTCTGGCCAGGGGACAGCTGTGTGGCTCAGTGGTTAAGTTCATGCACTTTGCTGGGCTTCAGTGGCCCAAGAATTCACTGGTTTGGATCCTGGGTGCAGACCCAGCACCACTCACAAGCCATGCTGAGGCAGCATCCCACACAGCAGAACCAGAAGGACCCACAACTAGAATATACAACTATGTACTGGGGGGCTTTGGGGAGAAGAAGAAAAAAAAAAGAAGATTGGCAACAGATGTTAGCTCAGGTGCCAATCTTTAAAAAAAAGAAAAAAAGAAAGAAAGAAACTTCTAGCTAGTGTAGACTCCCGTGTCCCGGACTCCTCCTGGTAAGTTAACTGGGCTTTTAAAAACTATTAATTACTGGAAGGTTTGTTTCAAATACTCGGAAAAGCAGGATGACCTGTCCAAAGTACAGGTCATGGGTGATGTGGGAAGTACACAAACGTCATCTGAATACACAAGAATAGCCCTGAGGGTTTACACTAAGGAGACCCAAATTTTTTGTTTACAGTAATCCATGGGTACCAATTACTGTATGAATTTAGTTGGTGTGGGTGGACTTAAATATATTTTGTTATAAATTTTAGTATTTGTATTTAATTTTTTAGTATTTAGTTGTTATAGTTTTCTGAACACCTAAGAAAATAATTCCACTATAGTTTATTTCATTAGTCCATGATCCTTTTTATCCTTGATGTCCCTAGAGTTTCTTTGAGGTTCTAAGAAACATCAGTAACAGTAACCATATCATTATCAGAGTCCAGAGATACCCAGTGTAGGGGCTAGGAATATTAACTATAATAACATAACTATAGTTATAAATTGATATATAATTATATAATACATACAACTATAGTTAATATTAACTATAATAGTAACCTACAGGGTTTAGGTGATAAATACAACAGCTTTGGTAATTCAAAAGATTTATACCAGTATCCTTCCATTGGCACCTTCACCTAAGTTAAGCCAGAAGAGCACCACTTCCTTCATGAAAATTCTTCAATTTTAAAAAAACTCTTAAAAAAAATCTTCAGATAAATGATTACATATAATTTTTAAAATACAAGAAAACTTCCCTGGAGAAAGATTTTTATCTTCGGATTGAAATGATTCACTGATTCCCAGTGTGGTTTTAAAACATGTCTACAATCCTTTGATACACCTCCCCTTGAGATGGAGCTTTATTCTCTTTCCCTTGAGCGTAGGCTGGACTTAGTGACTTGCTTCTGAAGAACAGAATATGGTGAAAGTGACAGTATGTGACTTTTGAGACTGTGTTGTAAAAACATTATAACTTCCTCTTTGCTCTTTCTCTTAGACCACTTGCTCTGGGACTAGCCCACTGCCACGTCAGAAGGACATCCAAGCAGCTCTAGTCAGGCAAGGAACGCAGGCTGCCTGCCAACAGCCATGTGAGTGTGACATTTGCAAGTGACTCCTCCAACCCCAGTCAAGCGTTCAGAGGACTGAAGCCCCAGCTGACTTCACTGCAACCTCCTGAGAGATACTGAGCCAGAACCATTCAGCCAAGCCATTTCTGAATTCCTAACCAACAGCAACTGTGAGATAAAATGTCTACTGTTTTAAGGTGCTAAGCTTTGGAGTAATATGTAACCCAGCAATCGATAATGAATACACCCAGGAAGAATGAAGATTTTTTTTTTTAAAAAAGCACATCTAGAAATTAAGAAGAATTCTTACAAGCATCAGACAGAAAGAACAAGCTTCTTACAAAAGAAACAAAAGTAGATGAATATTTCTTTCTTATCAGTGATAGTGGAAGCTGGAAGTGAACAACTACAATTTTTGGACAGGCAAAGATTCCGTTTACCTATGGCACCCTATTTTCAAAAATAATGGAAGAAATTCTCCAACCTTTTAAGAATGGAATAGAATTTAACCACGACTACACCAAGATTTTAGGAGTAAGAAAAAGAGTACACAAAAAGCTATTTTGCAATATTTAAGTTGTCTAAATGAACAGAGACAGTGTGAATGAGAATCTGTAATATATGTTGTAAAATTAGTCTTGAAATAATTTCCACATATATAGCTTAGTATTAAACTTCCTAATATACATAATTCATCGTTCAACTATTTACTTGTAACTTACTATGCATATTTACTTAAAAAAATTTTCAGCAAGTTCATTGACCTTTGATGCACACAAATAGAACTTCTAAGTTAGAACTACCATTCCTTAAGGAGTTGCAAAAAATTTCCTGAAATATTGCATAAAACTAGCTTTCAGAAATGTGCTATTTGTATAGTTTGGTTTCCTGTCTAAACTCTAGGTTACATTTAACAAATGTGTAACTTTTTGTATTCAAATTTTAATGTCCATCTTCATGAAACCAATCTTTTTTTTCAATGATTTTGAGATGGAGAACAGTTATTTCAATATTTGTATTTGTGAGAGGCCGGCAATAACGTGTTTTCTCTCTTAAATGGCGTGAGGCTTGGCAGGTTTAAGTACAGGTTTTTGGTTTTTAGTATTTAGGTATCCAGTGCAAATCAATATACATATTACACATACACTGACATATATACACACAGCTTTTTACAGGTATTTTGCATACACCACACACAATGCTTTCGGTTCCCCACGGTTATTATATTTCAATAACGCCCGCCTACTGAGTTAACATGGCCTAAAACCTTACTACCCGATTCTTACAAGACCTCTTACAGCAGCTCACAAGCAGAGGGAGGTAACGAGCCAATGCTCCTCCGACCCATGGAGCCCAACCAGCGCCCCCGACCCCGGGCCCGGCCCCCATGCGCCTGCCCGGGACGCGGACCGCAGAGAGACCTCCCTCCCGAGCGCGCCGTCCCGTCCGCGCCGCGCGCTGCCCAGCCGAGCCAGGCCCCTGCCTCCCTCACGGGCACACGGCGCCCTGGCGCCGACACGGCCGGCTCGCACGCGTGAGGACTCATCTTCCGGAGTTGGCCGGCCGCCCACAGCAACGCGCAACACCGCGCCCGCGCCCCACCGCCCCGCTGAGCACTTGCCGCGCAGGCCCGGCCAACCGCCTCACGTGGCCACGCCGGCCCAATGAGCGAGGCCCACGCCGGACAGACGGGCGCATGCGCTGACAGAGCCCGCGTCGCGCGGTGCGCCCGCGTTAATCCTCCCGGGAGATCCCAGCGGCTAGTCATGTGGGTTCCTGTCGCGAGTCGTCTCCGAACTCGGCCATGGGAACCTGTCCTGATTGGCTCCCTCTGGAAGCGGGGAGAGGACTCATTTGAGCCTGGACCACTTCCTGAAGAGCGAGGCAGGAAGTTATCCGGTCTCTCCGGAGTCTTCTGGAGCAAGTGCTGTCGGCCGCGCTGGTGGCGGCGGCAGCGCGGTGCTGGGAAGCTGGCCCTCCGGCCTTGCCGCCGCTAGGGGCCGTTCCCCGCGCAGCACCACGGCCCCGCGAGCCCCGAGCCCGACGCGGCGGCGCCGGGCTGCCTCAGGCTCCTTCACGCCGCTGCCGGGGGCACCTGCCGGGGCATCGCCCGGACCTCCAGCCGAGGCGCTGGCTCCCGGCCCCGGCGCTCCGGGCCGAAGCGAGGAGCGCGCTGGTGGCCCCGCGCTGCCGCCTCCCTGAACCCTCGAGGCCCTGGTCCAGAGCGACAGCCTTGGGCCGGGCTAGACGCAGCCAAGACGCTCAGCCCCGGCCGCCCGCAGGCGGGGCTCTGCATGGTCTCTGAGATGTCGCCCACCGTCTCGCACAAGGACAGCAGTCGGCAGCGCCGCCCGGGGACTTTCACCCACGCGCTGGATATGAGGAGCGGGCCTCTGCCGCCGGGCACCTGGGATGACAGTCCCCCGGACCTGGCGGGCGGGGAAGGGGACAAAGAAGCTCTTCTGCAGGACGCCGGCACTGGGGACTTCTCGAAGCCCTCCCGGAGCTGCCGGGCCGAACTAAGCAGCATTCTGCTGCTGCTTTTTCTTTACGTGCTTCAGGGCATTCCGCTGGGCCTGGCGGGGAGCATCCCCCTCATCTTGCAGAGTAAAAACGTTAGCTATACCGATCAAGCCTTCTTCAGTTTTGTCTTTTGGCCCTTCAGTCTCAAGTTGCTCTGGGCCCCTTTGGTTGATGCAGTTTACTTTAGGAACTTTGGTCGCCGCAAATCTTGGCTTGTCCCGACCCAGTATGTTCTGGGACTCTTCATGATATATTTGTCCACTCAGGTGGACCGTTTGCTCGGGAATACTGATGGCAGAACCCCCGATGTGTTTACTCTCACTGTGGCGTTCTTTTTGTTTGAATTCCTGGCCGCCACTCAGGACATCGCTGTGGACGGCTGGGCGTTAACTATGTTATCCCGGGAAAACGTGGGTTATGCTTCTACTTGCAATTCAGTGGGCCAAACAGCTGGCTACTTTTTGGGCAATGTTTTGTTTTTGGCCCTGGAATCTGCTGACTTTTGTAACAAATATTTGCGGTTTCAGCCTCAACCCAGGGGAATCGTTACTCTTTCAGGTAGTGTATTTAAACTATTATACTGTTAGATTTCTTTTACGTTTGTGACTCCTTTCATCTAAGTGTGTGACGTTGGAAGGAAGCTCACTGTTTACTACAAATCATTTTAGGGAAGATGATCCGAGGTAAGTTTTCCATTCGCTAAAATGAACTTCAACCGGAATGACTGCATTGGAGCAATCGTAATGGGTCAGCACTCAGCAGTGAGCAGGGAGAGGCAGCCATCCAGTGACATTGTCGTGTAGGGGCACGCAAAACTCAGGGGTCGCTTGGTACTTGCCTAATACTCATATGCACATTTTTACAAGCCTGGCTAGTGTGAAGACATGAACACAGCCTGACTCCTGTGGTTTACGTTTTCCTTTTGTCTTTTGTTGAATTGAGATGTCTAGCTCCATCATTCTGGTCCATTTCTGCCTCTAATACTAAGAGTCCTCATCTAGCCTTTTGGTGAATAGAACACGGTTAATTCATTCAAACATTAATGAGTTGACTAAGTGACAGAGTTCTAAGGGACCCCTGTATATAAAGCAGAGTCTGGCCCACAAGGAATGGGAGAGATGCACATTTTAAGGGAGCTCAGTGTTGCCAGCCATCAACTGGTTGTGAGAGTCAGGTAACATTTGACCTTGTTGAATTATAAGATTCCCTCAAGTGGATAAGTGGCATTCCAGATTGCAAAACGCCAGGTGAAAATGCATGGAGGCAGCCAAGTACAGAAAGATACGGACAGTGCCTAGAGGCCCAAAGTGCCTGAAGCCGTAACTGTGGGGACTGAGTTTGGGAAATGGTCTGAAAGAAAAGTTGTGGCCAAATTAGTGAGATTTTCTTGTAATTGCTGTGAAAAAGAGTCTGAAGTTTATCAAGTGGGAAATTGAGTGTAAGTTCTACAAAATTTCCCCTTTTTCTGCGTGAGTAAAATACATGCCCCTGTAAGGTGTTCCAAGGGTATTTTTTTTTTTTAACTTTCCTAACAACTAGGTCACAGAAGTAAAATCGCCAATAACAGGAATAACCAACATCAGGAATATAGTAGAATTCTTCATTCTGGTAGTGATGATGAATTTAGGTGGTTCTCCTTGGAAATTTAAACAGCTAAAATTTCTCTCATCTTCCCAGTACTAGGAGAGTCCCAACAGGGTAAATGTGAAGGGTAGATGTGTGATGAGGGAAGTGTAAGGGTTATATCATAATCTTCGGAAAGTGGAGGGGAAACTCACAACTGTGCTACTCGTCTTGTGAAATCTTACATACCCCCTGCGTACCCCTGCACCCTGTAAGGGACCCCCATTCTACCTCTTCAAACTGCTGGTGAGCCACTGCTACAGGTAGAAATGATGATTATGCTTTTCCACAGTTGGTTTGAGGCCGCAAATGGTTGAGAGATACTGCTTTACCCCTAGACAGATTTGTCTCTGAGTGTTCTGGGGTCCCACTTCTGCTCTGTGGATAATTCTCTGCCTGAAATGCTTTGTGCGTGTATCATATCAGCATGTTGTTGCTTCTTAGGTGTTTTGCTTTTCATTTTGTACTGGGACTGTTCATATCAAGTAAGGACTAATGAAATAGGGTCTTACGTAACATGGGAAATTCTCAGTAGAGAATCAAGATTTAAGAGCCTATGGAAATTAAATTACTAAGTAAATTAGAGTTTTCTTTTAAGTATGATGTAAGAGTGATTGAAAAAATATCATTCTAGGGAATGCCGTTATGCATTCAGGAGCCAGTATAATTATATTCTCCCTTAGCAACAACTGTTCCCCAAGGGGAAGATCAAAATTGTGCCATTGGAGTTTTATTTACACTGATTTCTTGTTTTGAATAGCTGTACATTAAGAGTAGAAGAGTTCTAACGTTTTCATTCACCTTTTTATGACTGCAGATATCACATTTATAGCCTTATACTTTCTGGAACTTAGTAAGAGTATAACTAAGAAACATCAGCAGTTCCAAGGAATTTAAAGAGCACAGGAAGAATCATAAAGGAAGTATAATTACTTAGGTAATAAAAGAGCCAAACACTGAGACAGATGTTTAGAAAATCAGAAAATTAAAAAGAAGCATATTTATTTTTTAAAATTCTGAAATATGTTCTTGTGATTAACACTTTGTTTTTAGTGTTACAGATACATGGAGATGGAATATATTGAGAAAGAGCAATTTTTACCCTTCAGAAAGCATTAATACAGATAGTAAATTTAGAACAGGAAGAATAGGATGAGAATAGAATCCCTTAGAAACAAAACCTTGATTACACTAAGGTTGGCTTTCTGGTACCTTTGGGGATCCAGGACCATCCTGAACTCAGAAGTGGGCTTTTTCTGTCCTGCCTCCTTTGGTTTTCAAGCCTCTTTAGTAGCAAAAAGAGATGCAAGAAATGATGAAAGTAACCCAGGAGAACATAGAGATTAGAACATAAAGAACATAAACTTGAAAACATATGTTTCAGCTCCTTCATTCTTACAGATGAGGAAACTGAGGTCAAGAGGCTAGTTAGAGGTAGAGACATACCTACAACTTAGGTTTCCTGACTCCTTATCTGATGTTTTTCCTGCAGTTGGCAGGAAATACCTCAAGGAAAACCTTAAAACCTTAGTATAATATGTGCTGATTGGGCTTTTCTACCAGGGAAAAGTAGCACTCTGATTGCTGATGTCTAAAAACACCAGCCCGCTCCTGGAATGCCCAATGCCCAGAAGTGACAGACTAAAGGTCTTTTGTTTTTTTGAGTGACTCATATCATTCATTTGCTTAGCACTGAGTGCCTGTTTGGTGGTAGGCATGTGATTGGTGTTCTAATTTGATGTATAAGACCTGGGAATTCTCTGCTCCCAAGGAATTTATAGTCTGTATGGAAGTGTGCAAACCAAAATGATGGAGGGGTGGATAATGTAAAAGAGTCAAGTGAGCTGGTCCAAGACTCTAGGGATTGGAAAGGTAGAGATGACCTAAAAAACCCATACCCATCTAAAGGTGGGGAGATTCAATTCCGGTACATTGTTGTCTTGTGGCAATAGGATACCAGGATTGCTAGATCTTACGAGTATTCAAGAGAAGCTGGAAATTCCTTTTTTGTTTATTTTCTAATTTTGAAAACATGTATTAGCTCATAAAATGTATCTTTAGGTCAAATCCAGCCTGTGAACTGGTAGTTGAGGCCCACTTCTCTAGAAGCAACGGTAACAATAGTGAACAGAAGTCACTGAGATGGGAGGCCGGCTCCTTGGCATAGTAGTTAAGTTCAGCGCTCTCTGCTTCAGAGAGGCCCTGGTTCAGGGCCTCAGATCCCAAGTGCAGACCTACACCACTCATCAGCCATGCTGTGGTGGTGACCCACATATAAAGTGGAGGATGATTGGCACGGATGTTAGCTCAGGCTTAATCTTCCTCAGCAACAACAACAACAAAGTGACTGGGGTGGGTGCAGGATCTTTGGGTTTGGGGACAGGAAGCAGGATAGTCTGATGCTAGAGAAGAGAGCTGAACATCTGAGGGCTTATGAATCAGTTTGTTTATAGAAAAGCATACACTTAACGGGAGTCACTTGGAGAAAAGGCAAGTGTTGCTTTGGAAAAACAGATGGCCTAAGTATGAACTAATCAAACTATGATAATAGTTTAAAAACAGTATTTGTAAGACATTCATGCTTTGAGCTAGGAAGAGAGCAGGACCATTAATTCTGACTTAGTGACTAATTTTTTTGTCTTGCTTTCTAAAGCAGTACTCATTAATACATTTTATGTCACTACCAGAAATGCGACTTGGAATTTGGACAGGACTAAGTGACCCATTTCTAGATAGACCAGTTATTCTTATATAGGCAGTAGTACATTCCTTAGCATCTACATTTAGGCTTAAACAGTCCCGTTACATTCTTGGAAGATAAAACTATAGAGATGGAGACCAGATCGGTAGTTGGGGGTTGTGGGTGAGGGAAGGTTAGGGTTAGCATGAGGGAGTTTGGGAGGTGATAGAGGTGTTCTGTATCTTGATTATGGTGGTGGTGATTTGAAATTCGTACATGTGTTAAAATTCATAGAGCTGTACACCAAAAAAATTTAGTGTTACTGAATAATAATTTTAAAAGTAAGACTTATAAAAATAAAAATTACCTTAAAAGCTAATCTCTGGGTAAATATACAAAGATTCTGATGTAAAATCCTTGAGTTTAGCTCCCCTTTTGCCTTGAGTGGAACAAGTTTGTAAATCTGGTGGATCTTGCATCTCAATATAGACAAATGGAGCAAATTTGAACTTGTTTTCAAATGTTGGGTCCTAGTAGTAAAGTGAAACACGTGGAGGACAAGTTGGGCTAGTAACTTCAGGAGGAATTAGGTATCAAAAACTGCAGCCCACACCCTCCCGAAGGAAGGTCATAAAGTCTTTTTTCTTTTTTAAAACAAAGCAAAGGAGAAATGGTACTGTGTACTTTCCTTGTCCAGTAAAGAACTGCAGAATTGCATTTGTGTGGAAAAGTCAATTTATAAACTACATTGTAAACCAAAAAAATTATTTGATTTTATTTGGCATATTTCTTACCCTGAATTTTACTTCTAATTTTTGAAATTTATTTAGAGGCCTATTGAATTAGCCTTCACTGTGTAAATACCAATGAAAAAATCAGAGAGCCTCACTAATTACAAGCAGTCTCCTACTTTCATTTATAGCGTTCTTGAAAACTATATTTAATTTGAGAATGCAGAATAGATTTATCTCATACAAGGAGATGTTCTGTTCCTAGAAGATTAAAAATGAAAAATATAAAACCTCTGATTTCACCTGTTCTTTTAAACATAATTTTGGATAAATCTTGCATGTTATACATGTTCTTTAATTTCATTCTTTTTTTAAAAGCAGTTCATAAATTTTAATTTTGGGTTTATATTTTACAATGTATACATATATGTTACTATAGGAGGTCACAAATATGTAATTTATATGTGAGAGTGCATGCTGAAACATTTTTAAGGATGAGATGCATATTTAAAAAGCAAGATGTT